CATACATGTACATGAAATTTGCTTTTCAATACTTCAGACATCCAGGAGTTCAAACAGCATGATACATTCAAACAAAATAATTCAAAAATACAATGAACAAGCATTCTTCATGATACAAAGATCATAAACTACATATTTCATTTCTTTTTAATTGGACGGTATAAAATAATAATACATTAAATTGTACATGTATTGTTAATTAAAGCATACATGTCCATATGTGGAAACTTCATGTTTTGAGTTCAGACCTCTGAAACACCAGCTTTTGTACAATTTAGACAAAAATTAATACTTTTTTACAGCATATTTAAATAAGATTTTTAAGTGAATGTTATTGTGAATCTTCCTGTTCTCAGAGGTCAAATCCCTGGTCTGACCAGCCAATAACCAAGTCACTATGCCATAGTGGTCACGTAGCTCTGTCAAACTACATGTAGTAATTACAACACCAGTGGAGGCACTTCATTTGTCTTTGCTCTTTGGCATAAAATACATAGATGAAAACATGTTTAACATTAGAGCATGAGAGTACAGCTCTTGACCTGTAAAGCACTATTTACATGCTTTTTGTTCTTGATGGTCAGTTGGTCACCTATAACTGCTTTGGTTTCTAGGACAAACTCTCCTCGATCAAACAAAAAAACCTGAACCCCCATAAAAAAAGAAAACCAAATAGTCACCACAGTTGTTTTGTTCATAACATAACTGGCAAAAGCCAACAATATAGGGCTAAATTAAAGCATGTATGACAGGGGAGACAATGAAAACATGTGATCAGAGCCTGGCTAATTCAATGGCTAAATACAGCTTTGACCATCTTTCACAGATTACTCAATTTTCTATGGCTATGACATATGTCGTTTGCATCGCTGTTCATGAACAGCTGTAAATGTAAAACACAATGTACTGCAGGGTCCCAAGACCATGAGGTTCTGTAATGACATTTGACCACAGTTTAACTGGAGATCACAGCAGTTTAATAAGCAATTAAGTTCTGTAACGAACCGCCGCTAGTTGAAAAGCCATTGGTCTGATTTGATCATACATGACATTGCAGATTTCCCCTACAGATTTTCAATGCTAAACAACCCCAACCAACCAACTAAACAAACAAACAAACAAACAAACAACAAACCCCCCTCCACTATTAAAGATATAGTCCATCATTTGTAATTTGTGCATTTTGTTCGTTTGAAGCAACAAAAGTGTTCAAAATCTAATGAAGGATACTGAACAACTAACCTGATGAAGTTTCAACTCAGCTTTAGCTGTATATTTCGAGAAAAACAGCATTCTAGGATCTCAATTTCAAATCAAAAGTTGCTGAATCATGTTTTGAATTGTTTTGAATTACAGCTATACGCGATGTCGCGCACTGATCCGACGAATTATAGCAACCGCGCATGCCTGTGCGTCGTGCCAATGCTTGCTGCGCCGAATAACAAAACGAACTACTAATTTAACTTTTCCTACGGTGCGTCTTAAGACGCACCGTTGGAAAGGCCTTCTTTTGTTGATTTCTTCAAAATGACAGCTTGCCAGAAAGATTAATTTCACAGGGAGTTTAGTCCACTTACTATCTTTCAACCAAGTATGTTTTTCAACAATAATCCGCCAGTTCCTTTTTCGGATGGCTGCAAATGATGGACTATAGCTTTAACAGAAATAGATACACAGAAACATCAAATTCAAATGGACATGATCTTTAATGCATGTACAACCCAAGTCCCACCACATTCATTACAGTTTTCCATCAAATAGAATATACATGTACACTAATGAACAGATCCTTCCCATTGGAGACATCTTGGAGGTTTGTATTTGTTCCACATGAATATTCATGAGTGCTCTTGGGCATTTATTATTAGTGAATTATAATGCATTCCCACACACAAATCACAAAAAGGAAACAAACGAACAAACAAAAATACCTCAAAATGACTACTAAATGCAAAGGGTATAGTGAATACATATAAGTTAAAACCAATCATTAAAATCAGTCATGATTAAAGTAGTACTAAGCATAAACAGCAGAACTTAAAACCAACCATGATTAAATAATTCCATAATCCCTTGAATACATACACCAAAATTTACACAGACAAATTACTAAAAAAAAACACGGACAAAATGGTACAATCTGTGTGTGGCCAGGCTATTTCCACATTGAATGTTGTACATTTTAAACTGCATTCTCGAAAGTACAGCGTTTGTTTATGTTGTTAATCGAGGACACACAGGTGCAACATCATCGATGAATTGAAGACAGGAACCAAATCGAGGACGACCTTGATTAGAAAAGGTGTACAAAACCAATGAGAGCTGTTGCGAAAAAAAAATTGTATTTAAACAAAGGAAAAGGGAAGAGGAACAATAGAAAATCCTCGATTTACACCATAAACAAACCTGTCTGTACATGTTAATGTGTATGTGTATAAAAGATGATGTAAGAAAAACTTAACCATGTGCTTGTAGTATTCCATCAATGATACAAATTACAAAAATACTTCCAACAATGCAAGTATATAACTATGAGCCCAAACTACCATTGTTACCAAGACAAGATACATGCATTAATATGGATCATTTAAGTACGATAAATGTAGGCTCTTCAGGTTGGCTACCGAGCTTTGCTTTTTTACTGAGAGAAAATAGAACCCTCCATGGATCGTGGGAGGCTCGTTTTACTGTAACGTGAGATAAATGTCAGTTTTTGTTAACTATACCTCATAAACATACATGTACATGGGTTGTAGACAAATTCAAACGGGTCAGTTTGCCAGCTGATATGTTTGCAATGCACCAGCTCCTGGACAGGGATGTCAGATATTGGTCAAAGATGAATCAGGTCAAGTAAACCCACTGTGCAATGCGTCACAGGGTACAGGCGCTGAGTTCAAATGCACTTGTTGTACCATGGTATTAGATTGTGACATTTCATTGCTTGGGAACTAATCATGGGATGTACTGCAAAAGTTCCTGTATGACGACCTCATGAACTCCGCAGGGTACAGCAACTCATGTTCTCCTGGGAACATCAACTCTTCAAGAACTATTAAACATATTTGTTTTTGCTACTTTGTACAACACGTACAGCTTTAATAGACCCTTTCTTGACGGACCAGGATGATCATTACATTGGGGGCACCCGGCACAAAGTGATGGATCGTCTATAAACTTTGTGCACATGATACGTCACTTCACGATTTCAAACCAAAAATCCTTTGCAATGAACATCTATTTCAATTTCACTTGCTCTTTTCTAAAAGTCACCAATTATGAAATGCATGCATCATATTCTGCACTGGCAAATCATGCACAGATGCAGATATCTGCTTGCTAATACAATAGTTCTTTGGCTGCTATGGGTACCAGTTATCCTCTGAAGAAAATAGTGTGTTTGGAATACATGTTAGAACAGTACAAGTAGCAAATATTATACAATTCATTTTCATCTAGGTCAGAGATATGTTTGTGATGTATAATATAACACACCAATGGTCTTTAAACTGCCCAATAAGATCACTTGTATTTTCAAGGCAAGATTTTCCAATCATCATTTTGGTAAAATCTAGTCTTAAACTTTGCAAAGTTTAAACAAATTTGTATGACAAATACAGCTCTTGCACAAATTTCCTGTCGCAATTCTTCATAACGACTGCAACGACACGAACTGCATGTTTCCTGAAAACCACTTGATTTCTACTGTATGAATTTCGTGCATGAACAACAGATGTTGGTCTATGACCAGTCATGAGCGTCCCTTGTGCAGGGCACTTGTGTCTGCTGAGTGGTTGCACCATGAAGTGCATAATTAATGTTCAGCTGATTGTGCATAAACCTGTAGAGTCTCTGCATGGGTCCTGTCAAACTGAGTATTGTGCATGTTCACAGGGTGTATTGGAATTAGTAATACAAAATAACAAGTTAGCATGATAACATTATCAACTTGAACGTTTCAGTCTGTTGCATCATACAGTTCAGCATATCAGACTTTGGTTGATACCTTATTTGCATCTGTGCAGTCATGAATGACCAAACATCACTCATTTCAGTCGTTTGCCACATTGCTTTTATTCATGACAAAATCAGGAGTTACCTCCCCTACCCCCCCCCCCCCCCCAAATAATAGAAATAAAATATGGAGTGTCATGGCCTAGTGGTTAAGAGCCCTGCACCAGACTCATGCTCTGGTGTTTCAGAGGCAGCAGAATGTGGGTTTGAGCCCGGGTCTGGACACTTGTGCCCTTAAACAAGGCACTTTAACCATTATTGCTTCGTCCCTCGGATGAGACGTAAAGCCGTCTGTGTTGTGTAATGCAATGCACGTAAAAGATCCCAGTAACACTTATCGCTAAGAGAAGGGGTTTGCCCCGGTTTTTCTGGCCTCCTGTTAAAACTCCCCTGCGGAGTATTTAGGAAAAGAACCAACCAAGAACCAAGTAGTACCATACACAAAATTGTGTAAACAACTTCAACCATGGACATCCTATTGTCCCCCTTTTGTTTTATTTTAGCTTTTTAGGAAGATATCCTATATCTTCCTGATGCAATCATACTGAAACTAGTCAAATTCATAACTTAAAGCTATAGTCCATCATTTGTAATTAGTGCACTTTGTTCGTTTGAAGAAACAAAAGTGTTCAAAATCTAATGAAGGATACTGAACAACTTACTTGATGAAGTTTCAGCTCAGCTTCAGCTTCATATTCCGAGAAAAACAGCATTCTAGGATCTCAATTTAAAATCAAAAGTTGCTTAATCATGTTTCGAATTGTTTTGAATTGCAGCTTTACGCGATGTTGCGCACTGATCCAACGAATTATAGCAACCGCGCGCGCCTGTGCGTCGTTCCAATGCTTGTGCACGCTGCGCCGAATAACAAAAATAACAACTAATTTAACTTTTTCTACGGTGCTTCTTAAGAAGCACCGTTGGAAATGCCTTCTTTCGTTAATTTCTTCAAAATGAGAGCTTGCCAGAAAGGATAATTTCACAGGGAGTTTAGTCTTTCAACAATAATTACGCCGGTTACTTTTTTGGATAGCTGCAAATGATGGACTCGGGCTTTAAACGTGCTAAACCATTCTTTTTGAATTACCCTTTATTCTATAAACTCTGTAGGAATACAACACAAACAACACCTAAATTTCAGATCTAATTTTCTGTGGTGGAAAAATGTCATAAAAACTTGCCTAAAATCTCTACTTTTTGAATCAAAGTAATTGACATTTCATTTGTTGCTTCTTCCCTTTTGTTCTCTGTTTTGTTGGTCTCAGCTGTATCGTTTGGTCGTTTCCATCATGGCTATCTCCACCACTGCTAGTTGGGGGCGCTGTGGTGTTGAAAATACCTAATCCAAATGACAAGACAATCAAAGTTAAGTTTGATTTCTGTAAACAAGAGCATGTCTCACTCTTTATGGCTAAGCAAACTTCAACCACTTAATGGTGGATTTCATGTAAAAATCATTCCTAAAACACAAGTTGTCCTGAACAAGATGACAATGCAATGTCATTGCAATAACCCTTGTCCATTTGATCTCTCACTAACACAGATTTTCCTTTCTTATTGGCACTCTCGCATACACAAATGTGACTAAACCTTTTTTGGCATAGCCTTTTTCCTATACATGTTGGTCTGTTACAAGTGTGTTTGCATTATTGGTCATAAAATGAGTAGAGATACGGAACAGTACTACACAGTGTACATGTACTCCAGCCCTTAAGAAAGACATGCAGACACACAGGGAAAAACACAGCTTTACTCAAACAAATTTAAAGAATTGGGTGTGACAGAAAATGTTGAATGGAGCCCAACAAACATGAATATATTGCCCAATGGTTAAAACACTGAGACCAGTTGAGCAGAACAAGTCTAAAAATAACAGCGTTGCTGTTGAAACCCCTCAGCCAGAGTCAAGTTATCATCCGGAAACCATTAACCTTTAACTCAACGTGGTGACCTTGACCTTTGGCCTTTGACCCCAGAACCAGTCCCAACATGCCTGTACCAATGGGAAACCCCCTACCGAAGTTAGACACCAACATTTCATTTCTAACTCAAGTTATCATTCGGAACCATTTACATTGAACTCACCACGGTGACCTTGACCTTTGACCTTTTGACCCCAAAACCAATCCCAACTTGCCTGTACCCAAGGGCAAACCCCTACCTCAGTCAGACACCAAAATCTCATTTCTAACTCAAGTTATCATCCGGAAACCATTTACCTTTAACTCACCATGCTGACCTTGACCTTTGACCTTTTGACCCCAAAACCAATCCCAACTTGCCTTCTCTCAAGGGGAACCCTCTTCCAAAGTTAGACACCAAAATCGCATTTCTAACTCAAGTTATCATCCGGAAACCATTTACCTTTAACTCACAATGGTGACCTTGACCTTTGACCTTTTGACCCCAAAACCAATCCCAACTTGCCTACTCCCAAGGGCAACCCTCTACCAAAGTTAGACACCAAAATCGCATTTCTAACTCAAGTTATCATCCGGAAACCATTTACATTTAACTCACCACGGTGACCTTGACCTTTGACCTTTTGACCCCAAAACCAATCCCAACTTGCCTACTCCCAAGGGCAACCCCCTATCAAAGTTAGACACCAAAATCTCATTTCTAACTCAAGTTATCATCCGGAAACCATTTACCTTTATCTCACCATGCTGACCTTGACCTTTGACCTTTTGACCCCAAAACCAATCCCAACTTGCCTACTCCCAAGGGCAACCCTCTACCAAAGTTAGACACCAAAATCTCATTTCTAACTCAAGTTATCATCCGGAAACCATTTACATTTAACTCACCACGGTGACCTTGACCTTTGACCTTTTGACCTCAAAACCAATCCCAACTTGCCTACTCCCAAGGGCAACCCCCTACCGAAGTTACAACCCCAAACAACATTTCTAACTCAAGTTATCATCCGGAAACTAAGCTGCCCGGACGGACGGACGGACGGACACACATACATCCGTCCGGACGGCCGCCCTAGGCGATGACAATACCCCTCGAGCCTCTCGGCTGAGGGGTAAAAACAGGTACAAGTGACATCACGCTTAACATGGGTTTCTTTAATACAATGCATTGTTTAGACTAGGTGAAGGAACCGAAAAACTTACTAAAGTTTAGCAAAATGAGAAGATACCTTGTTTTCCCAGTTGGAAATTTGTAGAGTCATTGAAAAAGAATTTGGTATGACAGGGACAGGTATACACAGTTAAGGTAAGAGACTTGTTTTAGTTTTCAAATTTGTTTTTATTGCAATTTAAAAGAATTACTATTTTACGAGCTGACCTGGGTATAAGTAGATAGCTTTGAAATAAAGTATAGAGCTGGGTACAAAAAGTATCAATTGAACCAAGTGAAAGACTTTTTATCTAAGTTTATCATGAACAGGAACGTAACGTAGCATAACATAACATAACATACCAATTTTGGTGTTAGTTGTAGCATTGTCTTCTGCCTCTTGTGTCTGAAGCTTTTGCATATATTTATCCAGCAGATAAAGGAACACTTCATCAACGTTTAAGTTTTCTTTGACAGATGCTCGGTAGAAACGTAGCTTGAGTCTCTTGGCTAAGGCTTCTGTTTCCTCTCTGTAGGTAGGAGTCAATCAAGTTATTCACATCGACAAGGAAACGATTACTGGAATTTGAGCGGAGATTCACATTGCAAGGTGATCAGGCACTAAAAATTCATTGTAAAAAAGATGAAATAGTCAAAAAGTCACTTTAAAAAAGAACCTGCTTTCTCAAGATAAGTATTTCACCAAAAATATACTTCTAAATTTGGTTAATTTTTATTAAATTCATTATGCAATCACTTTGAAACTTATGCACTTGTGTTTTGTCTCAAAACATTCTTTTATCTTCAGCTTGGTATCATTTTGAAATTTGTTTGATTGAACATGATTGATTCAGCCTACTTTGATTAGCAACTAAAGGGTGGGAACTCACTATGTTGAGGTCACTATACATTGGTTGTATGTGACTATTCATGTTTTCAATAATACTGACTGGATAATGCAAGTGCCCACTATTGTGCATGAAAAGGGAGGCCCACCTGCAAGCCATTTTTAGGGCCTGCAATTAATGACTGCCTAAGATGAAGAACCGTGCAGAATACAAAGGCAAATATATGTGTTTGACATTATCCACCTTTGATTCATCTTGTTGATAGTGCCCTCTATTGCTGACACTAATTTGTCTGCTTTTGCTTTTATACCCATACTGGCTGTTTTGGAGGAACATTTACATCCAGACTTGTGCCAAGACAATCGCACCTAACACGGAATGTCCGTCAACAAGGCAAATTTACTCTCACTTCTTACCGAACCTTATTAATAGCTTAACATCAAATATTACACAAAGTGAAATACTCAGAATTTGAAATTTCCACTTCTCTAAGGCCTATTTACATGTATACTGAATGCGACTTGTGGCTATACATTTGTTACGCATGTTGAAATATCACAGAAAGTAAATTCTTGGAATTTTAAATTCCCACTCAACTAAGGCCTTGTTACATGTAAAAATGTAACTTGCAGCAAAGATTATTGAGTGTGTTGTCCATAAAGATGCAGTCGTAAATTACAATTGTTCAAATAACTTGAATGGCAAGTTTGATTAAGGTAACTGAATTGATTTTTGAAGCTCATCTACAAAGAAGTTTGGGATCACTCCTGATAAAACTGGTGACCTTGATGTGAACTCCACTTTATATTATAAAGCATTTAAGTAAGTACTAATTAATTAAATGTGTACTTACGGAGATACAACAGCTTCATCCACCAAATCTATTTTGTTTTGTACAAGCACCAATGGTATGGAACCCACTTCTTCTTCAACTTTCCGCTTCCATTTTTCAACTGCTTCAAAGGATGCTCTGTCTACAGTCGAAAAGACGACAACACCAGCCTGAGCTCCTGCAATGAAAAACAAGAAAAGTTGTGTCATACATACACAAATGTCCGTAATTGTTCCCATGACAAAACACCATCCTTTAACCCTTTCCTTACCATGGGCGACTTTTGTCGACAAGAAGAACCCCCCTGCTGGTTCCCATGGGCGACTTTAGTCGACCAGGAAACCACACACAGAACACCTCAACACAGATATATTCACTACTTTTCAGAAAAGCGGCATGTTGATATGTTTGGCCGCCCATACATCAATCATATACCAGCTGAAAGAGTGTTTTCGGATCGTTCTAATGGTGTAGTTTATTCATAGTGTTGCCATTACAAAAAAATGAGAAAAGTGCTTTAGAAGTATCCACTCACAAATTGAGGTATGGAGTGCCATTTGGTCATGTGGTAAAATGACTTGCAGTTCGATAAATGGAACCAGATGAACAAACAGGCATTACTTTCTTATATTTACACATATGGACTTCATTTTTACATCACATAAAAGAGTAAGGTTCAAGGAACAAACTTTACACACAACACCTATGATTTAAATCACTCCTTGGCAGTGAAAATCTGGGTTGAAAAAAGTGAGTTTTGGACTTGTGGTCATTTTGTTCACGCTCTAGTGATTTCCGCATGACTGAGCAAACAATTTGGTCCTGGGGAGAGCCAAGTCAATAAACAATGTGGTAATGAAAGGGTTAAAGGTAGAGTACATCATTTGTCATTTCTGCATTATTTTCTTTTGAAGCAACAAAAGTGCTCAAAATCTAAAGAAGGGTGCTGAACAACTAACCTGATGATGTTTTAGCTCAGCGAATGCTGTACATTCCGAGAAAACAATATTCTAGGATCTCGATTTCAATTCAAAAGTTTCAAAAGTTGCCGAGGTCACGTTTTGAATTGCACTTGAAATCAGGGTCCGGGACACGTTCTCATTCAGCCGATTGCAACTACCCGCTGTCACCCACTGAAATTATAGCAACTGCGCAAACGTGCGTCTTGTCAACACTTGTGTGCACCAATTCACAGATTTGCCAAATTAAAATGAACTACTAACGGAATTTTCTAAAAATGCATCTTTAGACGCCACTTTGGAAATGGCCTTCTTTAATTGTTTTCTTCAAAATGACAGCATGCCAGAAAGAATAATTTCACAGGGAGTTTAGTGCAACTACTACATGTATCTTCAAACCAAGTAAGTTTTTCAACAATTATTTAGTAAGTTACTCTTTGGATAGCTGCAAACGATCTACTCTACTATACCTTTAACATCCACTTTCCTGGGGGCTACCTGGGCCAAATGGAACATTCATTTATATCACCACTGGTTTGTTTGGGTAATGATTACCTTAATCTATGACCATGATGGCCCTGAATTAATAATGATTTGTTGCTGTTCTATTAGGAAGCCATTGTATGTGATTAACCCTCCCTCTCTCAATGACAATCTGGAGAGAGTTACCTTATAAGTCAATATCTATCAGGTGACAGGTTTTAACATTTCTGTATTAAAATTGGCCTCATATTGGTACAATTGACAGGTTGTGGTAGTTTGGTTAACTGAGGGTACCACGCCTTGACTGACATTGATAGATGTGGTGGGTCAGCGCTGGTGAGTGCCTGTCAAACTGGCCTCATATTGGTACAAATGACAGGTTGTGGTAGGCACCATGCATGCCTTGACTGACATTGATAGATATGTTGGGTCAGCACTGGTGAGTCCCTGTCAATGATGGGTTTAGCTCAGTAACAATGAAGGCTTAAAAGGTTCACTCATGCATTCCAGCCAAACAAAGGCATCGCCCTCTAAAATGGCTGCTACACAAGCTGTACCAGTATTAATGGCCACCCTATCTATCAAACCACTTCAACATGCTTTGATAGGTATATCATTGAATCCATAGGGGTTTCTGGCAGTTGGTGACCAGCCTGAAAAAAAGCTATGGGAGAGGAAGTGGATAGATTGTTTGACGGTTTGTGACAGTTATATCAGTAGCATACAAATACCACATAAAAATAGTAATTTTTGAATAAACAAAGCCTGGAAAGCAAGTATGATTAACTGAACTCAGTGATGAATCACATGCACAGATACATGTTCAATTTTTGCATCCAATTGAAGGTTGAAGGGTGCCATATCTACGGAAAAATAAATGACTGTGTAAGTTCCTGACAGTACAGTTTTCGTGATGACACCATTTCTTTCTTTTAATCATAACAACCTTGAACATTGCCATGTGGGGTCCAAAAGTGACCCACGGATCCTAAGAACAACTCAAACACTAAGTTTGTGAGTCGTTGTTGAATTATGATGTCAAAAGTATTTCTATTGTTTTAACCAAAATGAATTTGAGGCAGTTTGGCCTTGAGACTTTTGACCTGATTGATTGCTACACTGGGCAGGCTTGTCAGGTTGACAAATGTTCCATGTTACTGCTTTTGGCAGAGTTGCTGGCCAAAATATACCCAGGAAGGTAAGGGTAGTCCCACTTGTTTGTCTTTTTTATTATTTTTTCCTTGTTTTTAAGCATGGCGGGCAACTTTTTGGGCTTGGCGGCAGCTTTTGAAGCTTGGCGGGTACCTCAGAAAGCTTGGCGGGGCACCAGGTTGTTTTTACAGGTTGGAGAACACTGCTAACCTTCCCAAATCCTCCATAATCCAAGTTGCAAAATTGATGAATTTGCAGGATTGAGGCTTTATGGCAAAAGTATGTGGCTGATTTCGAGGATGCACTGTGTCAAGGTCTGAGGCCGGACCTTGTGTTGTTTATGCTCAGCCGTGCATAAATTTAGGCCTAGATTATACTTGAAATCCTCCGCACTGCTCCAGGATGTCACTGGCTCTGCCTCAACATATTGACAGTGATTGCTGGAGGATTTTGCAGGATTGAGGCAGTGGTCACCCATCCAAGGACCGCATTCAAGAAATAACGGAGGATTTTGCAGGATTGAGGCTGTACGTGTATGCTATTTTTACATGCAGGCAGTTGGAGGATTTTGCAGGATTGATGTTACATCCTAGCAAAAACGCCTATGGAGTTAGGATTAAAGCAGTTGTCCTCCAAGAGTGATTATGTATAGCAAACTACCTACCCAACAAATATAAACAAAATATTTGAAGTCATTCTTAATAACACTTGATTTGCAAATTACCAAGTAGGCTTACCAAAGTAACAGGGACAGGAAAAATGTCACATATTGGACCCTAAATTTATAGAATGATCCACATGTACGACCACAATTGTATAAGCATATTGCATAAACCACTGACATTCTTTCTCAGTATGTCTGTATGTGAATAACAAGTGCAAAACAAAAATTTCTTAGAAAATGTTGCAACCTTTCAACTAAATATGCAGAACTTTCTTTTGGCACGGTGGTAACATTTCAGATTTTGTAGATGCCACTGTCCCTTCCCCATTGATGTGGTGAACAAAATATGAATGCTTGTCTTACCTCTGTAATAAGACTTTGTAATGGCATCAAACTCCTCCTGACCAGCTGTATCCCACAGCATCAATCTAACATCTTCTTCTTTCACTCTGCAATAATAAACAGGAACATTAATACAACACTGCTCATGACAAACAATTCCGGTATGAAAACAAAATATTGTAATGTTAAAAAAAACAAAGAAGGCAAAAAGACAATAAAATGTTTCATCTCAGACATACTCAAAAGGTGGCCTGTAACTTAAACAATGAAAATTACGTATATACACGTTAGCATTGACAGCCACGACTCCATTAATCCCTAGAGATAAGGGTCTTGCACATGTTTGAAGACCAAATCTAACATGTGCCAGTCTTCAAAGTATGCCACCAACCAGTTAATTTGACTGCAATGCTAAATTTGTACCACACAATATCAACCTCGTTTCCATGGGTACGATTTTGATGCATCATGTTGTTTCCCATCATGCCTTGCGTGAATTTTCTAATTTAAATGTGCCTTAAATGTGCCAAATAGTGGCACATTTAAATTAGGACTGCAGTCGATGTATCTAACGCGCAATGCCATGTTTAAAATGTTCAAATTTTTTTTTTGAAGAATCAATCCTTTCAAACATTAGATTCAACGTCGCGTTATTCATCAAAGATTTGTATTAAACGTACGTACCTCTTTCGTCCCTTTACAACCAAAGATATAGGTTTTTGGGGGCAAAAACGAGGCTACCATGTAATCCATATCGTACAGGCATCGCTCAGTTTTGAAAAAAAAATGTGTTCGTACGTGACGCGACGTGCATAGCGCGCGAGCGCCCTATAGGGCGTGCAGTCTTCGAAATGCGCGCGCAGTACGCTCTGAATAGCAGGTTAGCGTTGTTTACATATTCATCAGGGCCAGGGGTTAGTGAAGGAACGCGCACGCGACCATGGAGTCGAGGCTGACACAATATGAATATATTCTAAAACTTATTAGAAGCCCTGTGGGCCCTGGAACCCATGTCTTTCAGTTGGTTAGACTAATTTGTGCTTACTCTAAATGTTATAAATTCTAAGCAGTGTGTCCCATCCACACGACTCAAAGTAGTCATAAAGCATGCTCTTTTGTTGGTGCGCGGAGCCCATAGTTTTACTCACTGTATTTGTCTTTCCAGAAAGTCTACACCGATGGTTTTTTTGTAATCCTTGGTGAAGATGCCTTTGCAGTAACGTTGGATCATACTGGACTTCCCCACTGCTCCATTGCCAACAATGACAACCTAAAACAAAAGGAACAATTAAATCAATTATTCATTGGCATCATTTTTATAAATGCTGGCTTCAAGTAAATGAAGTATGGTAAGTACTGTATAGATACCGAATGTATATAGCAATTCCACACTAATGGGCCAATTAGATAAGTTTATGGATGTTGCATATGAAGGGTAAAAGATGAGCTAGTGTTTTCTTTAGTTTTTTCCTATACCTTGCTTAGTTGAAAGTGACTAGGACAAGAAAATACAAGAGATGATATCTTCTAAATTTGAGAAAATAACATGACTTTTTTTCTGTGCTATATGTACGTACAAGAATGCAACATGGACAGACACAATGCAAGGAAAAGGGTCATTATGACAAATTCAGTTTCTAATAGGCACTTTTCTTGTTTCACCGGAAAAATTGATTTTTCATATTTTTTTCTAAAATACTCAAGTTATTCACCGTGTTATGATACGGTCTGTGCTAATAGGTTATAGGTCATTTTTTAAGTGACTTCATTGGACAATTTATATGTATTATATTATACACTGTGTTTCCCAACTGTTTAATCTCAGTGAGTGAATCTGACAGGATTTCATATGCAGGGTGTCTCAAAATATACCCATTCTAAAATGTAAAATTATCAGAAGTGTACTGAATATTTCAGAAAGAGGCAACCACAAGGAAAAAGGCAGGTATAGCCTCTATCCAATGGCATTAATTTCAGTACCTCCTTGCCAATTACTGAGCAAACATGTCATTTACGAAAGAGGTCAAAATCAGCGCTGTGACAAGTTTTAACCTGGGTGGCATCGGACAGACAGATGTTATCTTTAGCTGTAACATAACAGCAGGCCTGCCAACTCCCATGCATTGAGCGTGAGACTCACGCAATTCAGGTTATTCTCATGCTCTCAGCCCACATGGGATTTCTCACGCTAAAAAAAAGACGAAATATATCGACTCCAAACTCGAAAATGATGTTTAAATGATGACCTTTTGCTTAAAAAAAATTGGTTGAAGTGGTCAGCAATTGCCTAAGAACGCACCACAGAGCATCTAGAATCCAAAATTGTTCGCGACCCTTAAGCAGGCCCCGAACCCCATGCCGTTAGAGCTCCACGCTTCACAATATTTCTGATCAAGCTCCATCGCCAAATTCTCACTCTCAGCTCTTACTCAAAGTTGTCAGCTCTGTAATAATTTAAAGGTAGGACAGGCCTGTCTAATGAAGCCATCATCACACATGAAGCTGATCTCCACAAGACAGCAAAGTTGAACTTTCAGATGGGTGTGGTGGGATCATTGAGCACTGCCACACAGACTTGTTTCTGTGGGGCATCATTTGGCAGAGCTTTTGGTGACGGTGATTAACATCACTGGATAGAGGACATCCTGGCATTTTTCCTTGTGGCTGCATCTTTTCTAAAATATTTAGTATATTTCTGATAATTTACATTTAAAAATGGGTATACTTTATTTTGAGACACCCTGTACAGTAGAAACCCTCTGCTCTTTCATATTCAGTTTGACCGAGTATACATGTAGTAGTGGGCGAGTTCATCTTCAAATCGTGGAATTCCAGAGAACAAAAGAGAACTATATCCCATGATTCCCAGCATACGTCCGTGATTGGGGTAGTGTACAAAACCTATGGGAGTCTTCCTAAAAAGTTAGTGTACAAACAAAAGAGGGACAACAGGACGTCCACGATCAATCGACAATGTGAACACGTTTGTTTGTGTGTGAATTGTTGACTGTTTGGATTAATCTTCCCAGTGAATAGTATATAGCCTATGGAAACATAGCACATATACAATACCTTGATGGCAATTTCCACATCTTCTTCTTTCATTTCTGAACAGTTTATTCGGTGTGTTGCTTTGAAGAAGGACAGCAGGAGAATCACGTGAGTGTTGGTCAAAGTCAAGAATGTGTCTGACGTAACGTCTGACCGAGGACCGTCTTCTTGATGAGTTGTCACTTGTAAAGTGTAAAGGCTGCTACGTGGCCATTTATGTTCAATGGCTGATGCAAAGTCTTCCTTGAAAAATACAGTATACATAAGCATAACACTGCACTTATCTGGAATTAATACAAAATCCACACACCATCCATAATTGACTTTACTACAGAGAGTTATCACACTGACAATACATAGAGTTTTACTGCCTTTTATTAATTAACTTTGGAAACATGCATTCTGAGCCATGCTGTTACTTGGGTCAATATTGTAAGACATGTAAGACGGAATTATTTCGTCGGTGAAGGGCAAAACCTAATTTGATTTGGGTCAATATTGGTCAAGTGACCCATTGGTGTGTTAAAAGTATACCAGGGGAAGTGGAAGGAAACTTTGACCATTTGTGACCTTTTAAGCAGCAGGAGGGTTAATTTGAACCTTATGCATGATGAATGAAACACTAGACTTGTGTTTGTGGACGAACACATCTATAGCTGTTTAGACAGTAGTTTTAGTGACAATTGTCATGCAGGAGTTTTATCTGAGTCCCATGTACCGTACATGTACATGCGTGTGGGTCCGAATATATTGGGCTGTGTGTAGATTTAATTTGGTGTCACACAATACGATGACAGTGAGTTTGTGTCCCGAAGAGTGACGTCATGATTACGTCATCATGGGTCACTTGACGTCATCTTAAATGTGCAAACTTTAATACCCTTTATCTAAAGCAGTATAAGTCTGATTGGGTTGAAACTCAGTATATAGGTAGACCGGGATGTGTTATAGGTAAAAATTGAGGTGACGTCATTATGGCGTCATCATGTATCAAATTACATGCAATTAAAGATTAATATATTTAATCTTTGAAAATTAATATAAAATCAACCGTGACACAGCTGAACTTGAATTTCGTGGGAATAATCCAGTATCTTCATTTTATCTCCTGCATGCCAAATCACGTGACCCTTCCTTCCGATCCAAACCGGAAGTGTCTTAAGTCTGATTGGGTTGAAACTTGGTATGTAGGTAAGCCGGGATGCGTTATAGATAAAAATTGAGCTGACGTCACCATGACCTCATCGTGTGATTTATATCGATTTTTGAAGTTTTGAAGATTATCACCATATTTCTCGAACCCAACATGATAAGTTCAAAATTATTTTTGTATTAGGTTTGTTAGGTAAAAGGTATATAAATACAATTTTTGAAAAATGTGTGACGTCACGATGACGTCATCAAAAATGTGATTTGTCAAAACACATATTAGGGTAATTCCGATTGTCTTGAAACCTGGTGGTTAGGTTTATACTGTTAAAAGTATGCAAATGTCAAGTGAAGTTATGCATGGCATAGTTTACAAGCCACGTTCAGGGGTCTAGGCGCATCCATGACGTTTGTGCACAAACCCAACTCGAAATTGTGTACGTCTTTCGTACGGCCATTTGCATATATCTGCGTTTTTATTCTATACAGGTGCGTTATCGAAGCTGATACGCCCCTTCCCCAAAACCGCAACGCACGATCAGCAAATGAGCGTTTTATTTTGCTATGCGCAAACAGCGCGCGTCTCCGCTGCGGATGATTACCGTGACTCGCTTAAGTTGTTTGCGTACGTTCTACTTGCGCATTGCATAATTAGAGCACATTTTCAAAATTCAATCCATCTAATTTCTAGCCCCACTTGTGTGGCCTCAGTATTGCTGCGATGTACGTTAGGCCACACGCCTGGTTTCCCAATCCACTGAGGAGTTTAGTCCAAAACTGGCGCATATGAACTCCAGAAAGATGTCTAAATTTCTTGAAAAATTTGAAGAAAGATCACCTTATCTACCCGGAGGGCAAAAGATGAGAAATCATAGAATACAACCATATACAGTGGTATTTAAAAAACAATCCAAAAAAGGGTGCGCCAGTGTTTGGAGTTTGGACTGAACTCCTCAGTAGGTTGGAAAACCAGATGTGTGGCCTGACGTACAGCGCAGCAAAACAGAGGCATATGTCCTATAAACTGACAAACACGCACTGCGCCCAGGACGGCTTCAAAGCGTCTCCGCCTGAATGGAGAGTCTCCGCCTGAATGGAGAGTTAGCGCTTCGCCTCTACTCTAATAATTTAATATATGTAATATAGGCCTAGCTTTAGTCTATATGCCAAACACTTGCATGGACGGTATCCAGTCACTTCGGCACCTTGCCAACGCGGCACCCACCAACTCGGCACCTGTACTAACACCAACTCGGCACCTAGCTGGCTCGGCACCTGACCAACTCGGCACCTCCGATAGGAAAGAATGTACTGTACACATCAAAGTATTTTCAAAAAAAATTCGAAAAGTTTCTCAGTTCCAGACTCAAGTCTTTTCAACATTACTGACTTCCATTGAAATGGTATTATGCATAAAAAAGTGTCCTTGTTTTCACGAAGAGAGAGAGTCGTGTAAAAAAAATCACGGAACGCAGTGTCGTATATTACTGAAGTTGTGGTTTGTTTACTATTCTGCGATTTGCCGCACATATTCATAAGATAAGGGAACAGATGTTTGTATTATTGTAACGTTTGCTGATTTAAATTGTATTGCTCATTGTTCACTAACTTTCATCGACCTAAAAACTTTACGTTCGAAGTCCATCCCTTCGTCACATTGGAACCGATAATACTTGAGATGAATGTCCCTTACGCCAAATTAAATGTAATTCATTAAAAACATATTTTTTTTAACAGTTGTCAGCCAATCTGGATTGTTTGAAAACCAACGCTTCAAACCAAAATACGAGGAGGAAAAGAGGGGGGGAAAGGGCATTTTCGACATGCCCATAATGGCATCTAGAGGCTGGCGAAATAATTCCGAAATCATATCTGCAACTTTGTAAAAATGGGTGCCGAAGTTTTACCTTGTTACGATCATTCAAATCCAAGAGTAAAATCATTATTCATCTATAAAAGATGTATACTTGTCAATTAATTTCCCTTTTCTAAAAAAATAATGGGTAAATAGTTATGTCTGGCATGTGGAAACAGCGGATTACGCGTACGCATGTTCTTTGTTGCCGCGTTGTGCCAAGCGGGATTGGAACTGTATTTTGCCCGTGTGTCACGGCGGGCCATCTGACTTTGTCTGGTCCCGATCATGTGGGCCAGGACAGGGCTGTGACCTCGTACATTGAACTGGAAAACAAAATCATAACTTTTTTGTAATGAGAGATAAAAATCTGATTCAAAAATCAAATGGATGTTTATTTAAGGGCAATTCCACACCAAAGTGGACATGACACTAAAAAATTCAAATGCATGTGACTTAAACAAATTTGGTGTCAAATGAAAGCTAAAAGTCTATATTTTCAAGATTTGAAGTCGGAATTTAATTTTTGATACATTTCGGTACCCCGAAATAGGATTATGTAATAATCCTGTTTTAATTATGAACAAAATGTGATTAATAGGGATATGAAAGTATTCTACCATTACACACACAAAAATATGTACTAATGCCATCAATTTCTGTCATGAGAAAGTATAGGTCATGGAAAACTGACTGAAATTTTTTTTACGTGTTACGTAATGTGTTTCGCTTCAGTGACTTCTAATATTTCAGCCTTCGAAAATGTCCTTCCGTTACCGAAAAAAATACATATTTTTGATTTATTTTAAAAACTTGCAGTATGAATGCAATGAAAGTTGTTATGTAAAGCAAGTTTAGGTAGGCCTTCAATATGACATTATAACTGACACTGCTGTACTTCTTGTTTTTTAATTACAATTAATTACATCACGTCCTTCCGTTACCAAATTGGTAACGGAAGGACGGTAACAGAAGGACAAATGTTAATTTCATCAAATGTTACGACATTTGTGCTCATGTTTGAAAAATGAAAATCACTGCAAATACATGCATGTACCTGTATAATGAGCATTAAAAGGACATTGATGTGACCCACCTTCACAAAGGTGGTATAAGCAGGGCAAGGTGTTCATTACAAAGGATGGCACAGGCATGTACAACATGTACAATGTACACGGTACATGTATGTACATGTATGTCTATGTACTCTATGCATGGAGTGGTTGCAGAAAATCAAATCATAAAGTTGCTGCCATCGTCATTCAATTTGGACAATAGGCAAAGATACAATTTCTGTGAAGCCATTCCAGAAGCAAGTCAAGTCAAAAATGAGATGGCAGAAGGTACTATTGGGTACTTTCATACAATTTACATGTCTAAGACATGTGAGGTGCAATTTTTTACAAATTATGCCTAAGTCAACAACCTCAGTTTGGATGTTTATAAGTTAACTATTGTTACTACCAGTACTCTAATTTGTTATAATTTGATTTCAAACATTGAATATGGAGTTCAATTAAAAGCAACACCTAAAAATTGAAATTGTTTTGAAGCATAATGATTCTGATGCAATCAGGTCTACTGGTAGATGTTTTTAACTTAAATGTAGGCTGGTTGCCCCCCCCCCCAACCCTTCAGATAAACCACTGAACCTACTATTAAAAGTTAATATGGTGAACATGTAACCAATATACTCAAGCGTTCAAATACTGTGTATTTCAACTTTTAAGGATTGAGGTGATGGGTTTAAAGTCTATTTCTGTAGTGGTCTTGTGTTCGTGAATTATGTGTTTTTTGGTTGTTTTCGTTTTTCATTTATTATCATTAATTAGCAGGCACCTATCTTTATCTCAATAGTTTCTTGGGTATAATAATTTATGCCAGGTCTGCATATTGTTGATTTCACATTCAGTTACACATTTCAGCAATTTGTTTCACTTGTATAGTTAGTGTAAATTCACATTTTGTTCATGCTATAATTGAGTAAACCTTTTGTCCTTCCGTTACCGTCCTTCCGTTACCAAATTACAATCCACTTAAGACGTTGTAATTATATTACCGAAACACTAATATTCAAATGAAAGGTGGTATAGTATGAGCTCCGTGGGCTACCAAAAGAGGGCGCCCTTTTACCTAACAACGATGTCTCATGGGCGGGACATTTCGCTGGTTAATGCGTACCGTTCCTTGTGTGTGACGCACGTACACCAGGGGATTTGTTCTATTTACACGCAGTGGC